CTGCCCCCCCGCCCCGCCCCCGCTCGGTTTCGGTTCCTGCGGGGCCCGAACGCCACAAAAACCCAAAGTGACCCCAAAGGGAACGGGGGAAATCCGAATTTTGGGGGGAAAAATGGGGATTTTGGGGAACATCGGAAATTCGGGGGGAAAAAATCGGAATTTTGGGGGTGAAAATCAGAAATTGTTTGGGGGGAAAAATGGGGATTTTGGGGAACATCGGAAATTCGGGGGGAAAAAATCGGAATTTTGGGGGTGAAAATCAGAAATTGTGGGGGAAAATCGGAATTTTGGGGGAAAAAAATCGGAATTTTGGGGGAAAATCTGAATTTTTAAGGTGAAAATCACAAATTTGGGGGTGAAACTCAGAAATTTTGGGGTAAGAATCAGAAATTCTGGGGGGAAAATCTGAATTCTGGGGTGAAAATAAGAAATTTTGGGGTAAAAATCAGAATTTTGGGGGGAAAATCGGAATTTTGGGGGAAAAATCTGAAATTTTGGGGGAAAAATCTGAATTTTGGGGGAAAAATCACAAATTTTGTGTAAAAATCTGAAATTCTGGGGTGAGAATCACAAATTTTGGGGTGAAAATCAGAAATTTTGGGGTAAAAATCAGAATTTTCGGGGGAAAATCACAAATTTTGGGGGGAAATCTGAATTTTGGGGGAAAATCAGAATTTTGGAGGGGAAATCTGAATTTTGGGGGAAAAATCACAAATTTTGGGGGGTAAATTTGAATTTTTGGGGTGAAAAATCATAATTTTTGGAGTAAAAATCAGAAATTTTGGGGGGAAAAAATGTGAATTTTGGGGGAAATCAGAATTTTGGGGTGAAAATCACAAATTTTGGTTTAAAATCTGAAATTCTGTGGAGAAAAATCTGAATTTTGGGGGAAAATCAGAAATTTGGGGGAAAAATCTGAATTCTGGGGGGAAATCTGAATTTTTGGGGGGAAATCAGAAATTTGGGGGAAAAATCGGAATTTTTTGGGAAAAATCGGAATTTTTGGGGGAAATCAGATATTTTGGGGTAAAAATCACAAAATTTGGGGTGAAAATCAGAAATTTTGGGGGGAAATCTGAAATTTTGGGTTGAAATAATGAATTTTTGGGGTCAAATCTGAAATTTTTCAAGGGCAAGCCTGAAATTTTGGGTGAAATCCTAATTTTTGGAGTAAAATCCCGAATTTTGGTGTCAAATTCCCAATATTTTGGGGTGAAATCCAAATTTTTGCGTAAAAATCCTGAAATTTTGGGTAAAAATCCTGAATTTTGGGGGTCAAATACTGAAATTTTGGGTAAAAATAATGAAATTCTGAGATGAAATCCCATTTTTTGGAGAAAAATCCTGAATTTTGGGGTCAAATTCTGAATATTTTGGGTAAAATTCTAATTTTTGGGTAAAATCACAAATTTTTTGAGCAAACCAATGAATTTTTGGGCTAAAATCGTGATTTTTTGGGGGTGAAATCCCAAATTTTTGGGGTAAAAATCCTGAATTTTTGGGGTGAAATCCCAATTTTTTGGGTCAAATCCTGAATTTTTTTGAAAAAATCCCAAATTTTGGGGTAAAAATCCTGAATTTTTGGCATAAACTCCCAAATAAATCCCAAGTCTTGGGTGAAAATCTCGGGATTTTGGGGTAAAATCCCAAATTTTTGGGGTGAAATTCCCAATTTTTAGAGTAAAATCCTGAATTTTGGGTAATATTCTGAATTTTTGGGGTTAAATCTCGACTTTTAGGAGCAAAATCCCAAATTTTTGGGTAAAAATCCTGAATTTTAGGGGTGAAATAATGAAATTTAGAGGTGAAATCCCAATTTTTTGGGTCAAATCCCGATTTTTAAAAAAAAAATCCCAAATTTTGGGTAAAAATCCCAATTTTTTGGCCCAAACTCCCCAATAAATCCGGATTTTTGGGTGAAAATCTCCGATTTTTGGGGTAAAATCCCAAATTTTTGGTGTAAATCCAAAAACACTTGGAAAAAATCTCGGATTTTTGGGTTAAAAATCCGGATTTTTTAAATAAAAACCCCAAATATTATGTTAAAAATCCGATTTTTTGGCCCAAACTCCCCAGTAAATCCGGATTTTTGGGTGAAAATCTCCGATTTTTGGGGTAAAATCCCAAATTTTTGGTGTAAATCCAAAAATATTTGAAAAAAAATCCCAATTTTTGGATTAAAAATCCGGATTTTTTAAATAAAAACCCCAAATATTATGTTAAAAATCCGTTTTTTTGGCCCAAACTCCCCAGTAAATCCGGATTTTTGGGTGAAAATCTCCGATTTTTGGGGTAAAATCCCAAATTTTTGGTGTAAATCCAAAAATATTTGAAAAAAAATCCCAAATTTTGGATTAAAAATCCGGATTTTTTGGTAAAAATCCCATTTTTTTTGGCCCAAACTCCCCAATAAATCCGGATTTTGGGGTGAAAATCTCGAATTTTGGGGTATTTTAGGGGTGAAATAATGAAATTTAGAGGTGAAATCCCAATTTTTTGGGTCAAATCCCGATTTTTAAAAAAAAAATCCCAAATTTTGGGTAAAAATCCCAATTTTTTGGCCCAAACTCCCCAATAAATCCGGATTTTTGGGTGAAAATCTCGTATTTTGGGGGAAAATCTCGAATTTTTGGGTGAAAATCTCGTATTTTGGGGGAAAATCTCGAATTTTTGGGTGAAAATCTCGTATTTTGGGGGAAAATCTCGAATTTTTGGGTGAAAATCTCGTATTTTGGGGGAAAATCTCGAATTTTTGGGTGAAAATCTCGTATTTTGGGGGAAAATCTCGAATTTTTGGGTGAAAATCTCGTATTTTGGGGGAAAATCTCGAATTTTTGGGTGAAAATCTCGGTTTTTGGGGTGAAAATCTCGATTTTTTGGGTGAAAATCTCGGTTTTTGGGGTGAAAATCTCGGATTTTTGAGTGAACATCTCGGATTTTGGGTGAAAATCTCGGATTTTTGGGTGAACATCTCGGATTTTGGGGTGAACATCTCGAATTTTTGGGTGAAAATCTCGGATTTTTGGGTGAAAATCTCGAATTTTGGGTGAAAATCTCGAATTTTTGGGTGAAAATCTCGTTTTTTTGGGTGAAAAATCTCGAATTTTTGGTGAAAATCTCGAATTTTTGGGTGAAAATCTCAATTTTTTTGGGTGAAAATCTCGAATTTTTGGGTGAAAACCTCGGATTTTGGGGTGAAAATCTCGAATTTTTGGGTGAAAATCTCGGGTTTTTTGGGTGAAAATCTCGGATTTTGGGTTGAAAACCTCGGATTTTTGGGTGAAAATCTCGAATTTTGGGGTGAAAATCTCGGGTTTTTTGGGTAAAAATCTCGGTTTTTTGGGTGAAAATCTCGGTTTTTTGGGTGAAAACCTCGGATTTTTGGGTGAAAACCTCGGATTTTGGGTAAAATGGTGACTTTCGGGCCGGGCCCGGGGCCGGGGCCGCGCTTGGGCGGCCCCGAGTGCGAAATTTGCATTTTCTGCCCCAAACGCCGCCGGTTTCGTTTTTTCTCCATTTTCGTTTCCCGTTTTTGGGTTTTTTTAAGGCAAAAACTGCGCGGAGGCGGCGCCGATTTCCGGGGCGGTTCCGGGGCGGGTTCGGCTCCAAAATCGCTGAAAAATGGGAAAAAAGCCCCAAAAAAATGGGGGGAAAAGGGGAAAATGAGGGGAAATAAAGCGGGAAAAAAAGGGGGAAAGAGGGGGGAAAAAAAGGGAAAAGAGGAAAAAAATCCCCCAAAAATGGGGGGGAAAATAAAAATCAAGGGGGAAAAAATTTAAAAAATGGATAAAAAATAAAAAAACAAGGGGAAAATTCAAAAAAATGGGAAAAATGAAAAACAAGGGGGGAAAAAATCCCAGAAAATGGGGAAAAAAGGGGAAAAAATCCCAAAAAATGGGAAAAAAAGAGGGAGAAATCCCAAAAAATGGGAAAAAAAGGGGAAAAAAATCCCAAAAAATGGGGAAAAAAGAGGGAGAAATCCCAAAAAATGGGGAAAAAAGAGGGAGAAATCCCAAAAAATGGGGAAAAAAAAGGGGAAAAAATATCCCAAAAAATGGGGGGAAAAATAGAAAACAAGGAAGAAAAAAATTAGAAAAAATGGGGAAAAAAATGAAAAAAAAACCAAAGGGGGGAAATTGCAAAGAAAAGGGAAAAAATAAAAAACAAGGGGGGGAAAGCCCAAAAAAATGGGCCCCAAAATCACCACGAGGAGCCCCAAAATTGCCATGGAGAGCCCCAAAATCTCCGTGGAGAGCCCCAAAATCACCATGAGGAACCCCAAAATCGCTCTGGGGATCCCCAAAATCACCACAAAGAGCCCCAAAATCACCGTGGGGAGCCCCAAAATCGCTGTGGAGAGCCCCAGAATTGCTGCAAAGAGCCCCAAAATCATCATGAGGAACCCCAAAATCGCTCCGGGGGTCCCCAAAATCGCCATGGAGAGCCCCAAAATTACCACGAGGAGCCCCAAAATCATCGCGGGGAGCCCCAAAATCGCTCCAGGGATCCCCAGAATCGGTGCCCGGACCCCGCTGAGGAAGAATCCAGGGCTGGGGGGGCTCCCCAATTTTGGGGGGTCCCGGGAGACCCCCCGGGCCCGGGGCAGAGCTCATTGGGGATGCTCATTGACCCTTGGTGACCCTTGGGGACACTCAATGATCTTCAATGACACTCAATGACACTCTGGTGACATTTGGTGACCCTTGGTGACACTCTGTGTCCCTTGGTGACAATTGCTGACTCTTGGGGACGCTCAGTGACACTCTGGGACCCTTGGTGACACTCAATGACCCTTGAGGACACTCAGTGACACTTGATGACCTTTGGGGACTCTTGGTGACCCTTGGGGACACTCAATGACCCTTGAGGACATTCAGTGACCCTTGAGGACACTCAATGACACTTGGGGACACCTGGTGACACTTGGTGTCCCTTGGTGACACTGGATGACCCTTGGGGATACTCAATGATCTTCAATGACACTCGGTGACACTCAGTGACATTTGGTGACACTCTGGTGACATTTGGTGACACTCGGTGTCCCCGGTGTCCCTCAGACGGACACGGAGCCCTTCCCAGTGTCCCCAATGTCCCCTGTCCCCAGTGTCCCCTGCACCCCACTGACCCCGTGTCCCCTGTCCCAAATTGTCCCGTCCCCTGTCATGTCCCCAGTGTCCCCGAACCCCCTCCCCACCATTCCCAGTGCCCCCAGTCCTCCCAGTGCCCCCAGACCCCTCCCCACTGTTCCCAGTGCCCCCAGTGCCCCCAGCCCCACTAACCCCTGTCCCGCCCCTCCCAGGGACACTGGGGTCCAGCAGGGCGTTGACGAGCACGGGGTGGCCTTGGGGACACTTGGGGACACTCAGTGACCCTTGGGGACCCTCAGTGACCCTTGGGGACCCTCAATGACCCTTGGTGACCCTTGAGGACCCTCAGTGACCCTTGTGGACACTCAGTGACCCTTGGGGACCCTCAGTGACCCTTGGGGACACTCAATGACCCTTGGTGACCCTCAGTGACCCGTGGTGACCCTTGAGGATGCTCAGTGACCCTTGGGGACACTCAATGACACTTGATGACCTTTGGGGACTCTTGGTGACCCTTGGGGACACTCGATGACACTTGGTGACCCTTGGTGACACTCGGTGACCCTTGGTGACATTTGCTGACTCTTGGGGACGCTCAGTGACACTCTGGGACCCTTGGTGACACTCAATGACCCTTGAGGACACTCAATGACACTTGATGACCTTTGGGGACTCTTGGGGACACTCAATGACACTCGGTGGCACTTGGGGACCCTTGGTGACCCTCAATGACCCTTGAAGACACTCAGTGACACTTGATGACCTTTGGGGACTCTTGGGGACCCTTGGTGACACTCAGTGACCCTTGAGGACATTCAGTGACCCTTGGGGATTCTTGGTGACCCTTGGGGACACTCAATGATCTTCAATGACACTCAATGACACTCGCTGACACTCAGTGACATTTGGTGACACTCTGGTGACATTTGGTGGGCCTTGGTGACACTGGTGGCCCTCGGTGTCCCTCAGACGGACACGGAGCCCTGCCGGAAGTCGCTGGGGCCCAGCAGGGCGTTGACGAGCACGGGGTGGCCTCGGTGGCACTCGGCCTGCGCCGCCCTCAGCACGGCCACCACCCTGGCCTGGACGTCCCCCGCGGTGTCCCCTGTGCCATCCCCAGCATTGTCCCCCGCGGTGTCCCCTGTGCCATCCCCCGCGGTGTCCCCAGCGCTGTCCACGACGAAGCCGCGGCCGCCCAGCGCCTCCGCCACCGCGTGGTAATCTGGGGACACGGGTGGCACTGTCACCGGGGGTGGCACTGTCACCGGGGGTGGCACTGTCACCGGGGGTGGCACTGTCACCTCTGGGGGGTGGCACTGTCACCAGGGGTGGCACTGTCACCGGGGGTGGTAATGTCACCTCCATGGGAGTGGCATTGTCATCAGGGATGGCATGGGGACAGGAGATGGCATTGTCACCAGGGGGTGGCACTGTCACTGGGGGTGGCATTGTCACTGGGGGTGGCACTGTCACCTCTGGGGGGTGGCACTGTCACCAGGGGTGGCACTGTCACCGGGGGTGGTAATGTCACCTCCATGGGAGTGGCATTGTCATCAGGGATGGCATGGGGACAGGAGATGGCATTGTCACCAGGGGGTGGCACTGTCACTGGGGGTGGCATTGTCACTGGGGGTGGCACTGTCACCTCTGGGGGGTGGCACTGTCACCAGGGGTGGCACTGTCACCGGGGGTGGTAATGTCACCTCCATGGGAGTGGCATTGTCATCAGGGATGGCATGGGGACAGGAGATGGCATTGTCACCAGGGGGTGGCACTGTCACTGGGGGTGGCATTGTCACTGGGGGTGGCACTGTCACCTCTGGGGGGTGGCACTGTCACCAGGGGTGGCACTGTCACCGGGGGTGGTAATGTCACCTCCATGGGAGTGGCATTGTCATCAGGGATGGCATGGGGACAGGAGATGGCATTGTCACCAGGGGGTGGCACTGTCACTGGGGGTGGCATTGTCACTGGGGGTGGCACTGTCACCTCTGGGGGGTGGCACTGTCACCAGGGGTGGCACTGTCACCGGGGGTGGTAATGTCACCTCCATGGGAGTGGCATTGTCATCAGGGATGGCATGGGGACAGGAGATGGCATTGTCACCAGGGGGTGGCACTGTCACTGGGGGTGGCATTGTCACTGGGGGTGGCACTGTCACCTCTGGGGGGTGGCACTGTCACCAGGGGTGGCACTGTCACCGGGGGTGGTAATGTCACCTTGGTGTCCCTCAGACGGACACGGAGCCCTGCCGGAAGTCGCTGGGGCCCAGCAGGGCGTTGACGAGCACGGGGTGGCCTCGGTGGCACTCGGCCTGCGCCGCCCTCAGCACGGCCACCACCCTGGCCTGGACGTCCCCCGCGGTGTCCCCTGTGCCATCCCCAGCATTGTCCCCCGCGGTGTCCCCTGTGCCATCCCCCGCGGTGTCCCCAGCGCTGTCCACGACGAAGCCGCGGCCGCCCAGCGCCTCCGCCACCGCGTGGTAATCTGGGGACACGGGTGGCACTGTCACCGGGGGTGGCACTGTCACCTCTGGGGGGTGGCACTGTCACCAGGGGTGGCACTGTCACCGGGGGTGGTAATGTCACCTCCATGGGAGTGGCATTGTCATCAGGGATGGCATGGGGACAGGAGATGGCATTGTCACCAGGGGGTGGCACTGTCACTGGGGGTGGCATTGTCACTGGGGGTGGCACTGTCACCTCTGGGGGGTGGCACTGTCACCAGGGGGTGGCATTGTCACCTCCATGGGAGTGGTATTGTCATCAGGGATGGTACGGGGACAGGAGATGGCATTGTCACCTTCATGGGAGGTGGCACTGTCACCAGGGATGGAATTGTCACCAGGGGCACAGGAGAACAGGGAGGTGGCATTGTCATTGCTGAGGGTGACATCACCAGGGGGTGGCACTGTCACCAGGGGTGGCACTGTCACCTCCAGGGGGTGGCACTGTCATCAGGGACAGCATGGGGACATTGGGTGGGTGGGTGGCAGTGTCACCACTGGGAGTGGCATTGTCACCAGAGGGGCATGGGGACAGGAGATGGCATTGTCACCTCCATGGGAGGTGGCACTGTCACCAGGGACAGCATGGGGACAGTGGGTGGGTGGCACTGTCACCGGGGGGGCAGGGAGGTGGTCACTTTGGGTCACTCAGTGGCCAGTGGTCACTATGGGTCAATGGTCACTCAGTGGTCAGTTGGTCAGTGGTCACTATGGGTCAGTGGTCAGTGGGTCAGTGGTCACTCAGTGGTCACTCAGTGGTCAATGGTCACTATGGGTCAGTGATCAGTGGGTCAGTGGTCAGTTGGTCACTCAGTGGTCACTCACCGCTGTAGCTGAGGCCGCAGCCCACGGCGCTGCCCAGCAGGGGCAGCTGCTGTCCCAGGGTCACTGGTCAGTGGTCCCTATGGGTCAGTGGTCAATGGTCACATGGGGACAGGGACAGAGGGACAGGGACACAGGGGAGAGAGTGACACAGGGGCAGGGACACAGGGACAGGGACCTGGGGACACACAGGGGACAGTGACACAGGGACACAAGGACTGACACAGGGACAGGGACAATGACAGTGACAATGACAATGACATAGTGGCAGTGACGGTGGCAGTGACAATCACAGTGACACAGTGACAGTGACAGTCACACAGTGACAGTGACAATGACATAGTGGCAGTGACAGTGGCAGTGACAATCACAGTGACACAGTGACAGTGACAGTGACAATGACAGGGTGACAGTCTCACAGTGGCAGTGACAATGACATGGTGACATGATGACAGTGACAGTGACAGTGACAGTGTGACAGTCTCACAGTGACAGTGGCAGTGACAATGACATAGTGCAAGTGACAGTGACAGTGACAGTCACACAGTGACAGTGACAATGACACAGTGACATGGTGACAGTGACAGTCACACAGTGACAGTGACAATGACAGGGTGACAGTGACAGAGTGACAGTGACAGTAACATGGTGACAATGACAGTGACAATAACACAGTGACAATGACAGTGACAGTCACACAGTGACAGTCACACAGTGACAGTGACACAGTGACAATGACAGAGTAACAGTGACAGTGACAATGAGAGTGGCAGTGACACAGTGACAATGACACGGTGACAATGACATGGTGACAGTCACACAGTGACAATGACAGTGACAGTGACAATCACACGGTGACAGTGGCAGTGGCAGTGACAGTCACACAGTGACAATGACAGTGACACAGTGACAATAACACAGTGACAGTCACACGGTGACAGTGACAGTGGCAGTGACAATGACAGGGTGACAGTGACAATGACAATGACAGCAGCAGTGACCTTGTGGCGCACGAAGGTGTCGAACTCCATCAGGCTGAAGCCCAGGGAGCCGTCCCCGAACAGCACCCACACCTGGCAGTGCCACCCAGCGTCACCAGAGTGTCACCCAGCGTCACCGAGTGCCACCCGGTGTCACCCAGTGTCACTGAGTGCCACCCGGTGTCACCAGAGTGTCACCCGGCGTCACCGAGTGCCACCGAGTGCCACCCAGTGTCACCAGAGTGTCACCCAGTGTCACCGAGTGCCACCCGCAGGTGGCCCTGGGGACTGTCCCCAAGTGTCACCCATGGACACAGTGGGTGGCCCTGGGGACCCTCTGGTCCCCCTGATGTCCCCATCCCCAGTGTCCCCCAATGTCCCCCCACTGTCCCCAATGTCCCCATACCGCCCACACCTCCCCGTCCCCCAATGTCCCTCAGTGTCCCCCTCAATGTCCCCATCCCCCAATGTCCCCAAGTTCGCCAATGTCCCCCCCAATGTCCCCCATTCCCCCAATGTCCCCACTGCCCCATCCCCCCAGTG